GTGCACCTCCTGGGTTAGATGGAGGTCCCGTATATAGATGTGCTCAGTCAGTATAGATGTTATTATGGGAAGTTACCAGCTTGACACTAACAATGATAAATTTTCCTGTAAATATTAAAAACACTTAAGTGCTTTCTAACCAAAGCATTTTTATTTTCTGAAGTGAAGTGGCAGAATTGGTGGGAACAGAGTGCAGTGGGAACTGAAGCAAATGCAACTCTAACAGGCATCTGTCATTTTGTGACATTTTCTGCCATGTTTAGGTGTTAAAGTTCTTCAAACCCTTATAAAAATATATATTTGGGATTACTATAGGCTCCTCTTTGTGGCTGGGAAAACACTCTCATTCCCTTCTGGTGTCACGGTCCATTGAAAAAAAAAACAATAAAAAACCAAAAAGAAGACATTCAGAAGTCCCTTTGCTTCCAAGATTAGAGGTCTTTGAGGTAAGACCTGAAGAGAAGACAGAGGACTTGGCTTCTCTCGTGTAGGGCATATCTAGAGAGAGATGAAGCCTTAATATTATAGTGGACAAGATGCAGGGATTTGGAATAAATATTCAGGCTTTGCTGAGTGCTTTGGTGAAGTGGGTTTAGGAAGTGGAGGGCAGTTTCTGGCTCTGAGGACTGGGCTGTAGAAATGGCCAGGCAGATGGACTCTCACAACAAGAAGCTGTAGACTCTGAGGTACAAAGTGCTGGACATGGAAGGCAGATTCAGATACAACGTTCACATTGCTGGGGTCCAAAACAGGTAATTCCACTGAGTTTGTGAAAATAACTACTTTTCATCATTTTAAAACTCCTCTCAGACAGATTTGGAGGTAGAGAGGGACCACAGGTCTTACTGGAGGATGCCTGATTTGGTAGAAAAACCTAGGGTCTTCATAACCGAGTTTCTGTGATTTACTACCAAAGAGAGAGTATTCAAAGCCACGAGAGGACTAGGAGAGCTGACATGGGCTGAACCTGGCATTCATATAATGCTGTTTCCTGGTCTTCCCTGTGAGAAGGCTGAAAAGCAGGCTGTTTAAACCAGCAAAACTACAGACAAGATGCAAAAACCTGAGATACTTAATGAGGTATCCTTCCATCCTGAATCTGATTCACCGAGGGAAAACCTAGACTTTCTCTGACCTGTGGAAGCAGAAACATTTATTACATTGATACCATCTGGAGGCAGGGAATTTTCAGGATAACCCGAGTTTTACACACAAAAAAAAGGAAAATAGTGAGGTTTCTTAAGTTGCTAAACACTGTTTTTCAATAAGTGGCATTTATATGATGTTTGTTAACATTTTTATCTTTATTGTCACAGAGTGGTAGAAATCTTTGGGTTACACTTGTTCAAACTTTCCTAGCAGACATAGTGTCATATACTAAATTTACTGTTAGTTCTTGTACTTTGTATTTATTTTGTCTTTTTCCCCCTTTCTTTTCCTCTTCCCTAGTATGATCTTTTCAAGGGTGTATTTTCGGAGTATATTTTGTTATGAGCTCTGAATATATGGAGGTGTCAATATTACAAACTATGGCAGTATACAGATAAATCTTCTCCACTTGATTTAAGCATGATTTAAACTGGTGAATTGCCAGCTATATACAAAGCTGAACAGATAATATAAAGTCACTGGCTAAGTACAGCCGTTTGCTACACCCAGTCTGTATTCATGTGGCATACTTTAAGCCCCCTAAATGTGAACTGTGAGAGGATCATACCAGCTTTCGCTGCTGATTGTAGCTGCATAATTCAGGGGGGAGGAGAAGCTGGCAGGACTGGAGGGGGCGGGTTTCACAGGATCAGGGGAGTTAGTTGGTCTGTGGGTAAGGGGGTTGCCAGGTCAGGGGGAATTGGGAGGCTAAAGTAGTTCAGTGTGGGCTGGGGTGAGTGGTTGGACGTTCACATGCTTTCCATATCTGTAACACTTTCTCCATCTATGTTAGTGCACCTCTTGCAGTGCACTAACTTGGATTAGCTGCACCATTTTTGAGCACTTTAAATCCTCAATGCCTGCATGATTGAGTATTTAATCACTTGGTTATGTTGAACTAAATGTAATATGTGTAGGCCCCCACTAAGAATGGCCAGTCACATGTGTGTCTTAGAATGCAAAGGGCCTTAACAGTCCTATTTAAAAGAAGAAATTAATATCTTTTGTTAAAACACAGAAGGATGATATTGCTGCCCCCCAAGAAACTCATCTGTAATTAAAGGAATCTCAGAATTAGAGCATAGATTCATAGATTCATAGATTAAGGGTCGGAAG